AAGAATATATATATATATATATATATATATAAATAAAAAATGTCTGAAATGCTTATAAGGGTTAAAGGCCTAGTTCACCCCAAAATGACGATTGGTAACCAAACAACTGACAGTAGCCAATGACTTCCATAATATTTTTTATGCCATACTATGGAAGTCAATGGCTACTGTCAACTGTTTGGTTACCAACATACTTCTTCTTTTGTGCTCAACAGAAGAAAGAAAGTCATACAAGTTTGGAACAGGTTTGGTGATTAAATGGTGACAGAATTTTCATTTTTGGGTGAATTATTCCTTTAAATTAGATTTTTATATTTTCTAAAGAAAACTCAGGTCTCTCCTTCAATGAAAATGTATGGAATTTTTTTTCACCTATGTCAGTGCCATCGTGATTTAGTTTTTTCCCCAGATTTTTGCAGCCCAAACTGCATAAATTTGCTTCGGCTTTTCTAAAAAACTGTGGTGGTGATATTTACATTTTTGTTGCTTTGCATTAAAAACTCACCAATAATCATTAGTGACAGTAAGTCACTTATACTATATTATATTATATTATACTATACTCTAATATAAAAGTATTTTTGTGAACAATTACTAAAATCAGCGGTAGTCCTTGGAATTAGTAGTCTGTCCAAATCCCAACGGTTTTGCTTAAAACACTGGGTAATGGCATGTATAGCAATACTGTATTATCATTTAAAGGGGTCATATGATGCTTTTTTAAAGATCATTATTTTGTGTATTTGGTGTAACAGAATATGTTACTTCAGGGATCTTATCTATGCACAATCAGCTTGTAACACTCCAAAGAGAAAGGAAAACTTGAAATCGCATCATATGACCCACTTTAAAGTATTTAATGTGATTGCATTAGCCTATCTGTGGTTTACTAACTGGCCTGTTCTGTCATTAGACAATATATACACTAATTTTATCATTTTGACATGATACATAATAATGAGTGGCACAAGGACGCACACCTCGTGCCTCCTTATAGTGTGACATATGTGACCCTGGAGCACAAAAGCAGTCTTAAGTCGCTGGGGTATATTTGTAGCAATAGCCAAAAATACATTGTATGGGTCAAAATTATTGATTTTTCTTTTATGCCAAAAATCATTAGGATATTAAGTAAAGATCATGTTCCATGAAGATATTTTGTAAATTTCCTACCGTAAATAGATCAATTGATTAGTTATATGCATTGCTAAGAACTTCATTTGCACAACTTTAAAGGTGATTTTTTCAATATTTTGGATTTTTTTGCACCCTCAGATTCCAGATTTTCAAATAGTTCTATCCTAACAAACCATACATCAATGGAAAGCTTATTTATTCAGCTTTCAGATGATGTATAAATCTCAATTTCGAAAAAATTGACCCTTATGACTGGTTTTGTGGTCCAGGGTCACATATGTGAACCAAATACATACACACACACAAACATCTCCAACACATTTGTGTAAGCACATTACAGTGTCCCAAGATCATTCGTCATATTGAATTTCTCGCATCATGCTGTCAATACATGATCGATATCTACAACCTCAAAGAACAGCACTGCAAAAATCTGTATTTTAGTCTTGTTTTCCAGTAAAAAAATCCTTAAAACAAGATACATTTGCTTGAGAAGTAACATTAAGTTAGATAGAATATATCTTGCAATATGTTTCTTATCCAGTTGAGTGAGACTGCTTTTATTGCTTTAAGCACAGATTTGACAAAGGTTATGCTTAAAACAAGAGTTCTACAAAGGAAAGAAAGGAAATGTAAACACAGATTTATAACGTATAATACATAACAAGCAAATATGAAACCTTCATCAAACTATACAGTTGTGATATATAGTTCTACATCTGTAACGTTTCTGGTCCACAAGATTCAGAAGTTTGCATGTTTGTTTTGCCTTACTGCTCTCTCTCTCACTCACTCTCTCTCTCGCTCTCTCTCTCTCTCTCTGCCTCTCTCTCGCTCTCTCTCTCACTCACTCTCTCTCTCTCTCTCTCACTCACTCTCTCGCTCTCTCTGTCTCTTTCTCTCACTCACTCTCTCTCTCTCTCTCTCTGTCTCTCTCTCTCACTCTCTGGCTGCTGCAGTGTTGGGCCTTACCTGCTGACTAGGCAGAGTGAACTCCAACAGAGATGGGGAGGGTAGAAAGGAGATAAATAGGGGAGCGGAGAGATATTCCGGCATATACGGAGACAGGATATAAAGAGGAATATGGAGGAGGGAGGCAGGAGAATGAATGAGAGAGAGGGGAAGAGGAAGAATCACGAGAGGTGAGCGTGAACGACAGCCCCACCCAGTGATCTCTACGGCACGCTCGTGGATCGAGTGACACTCCACCTCTCTCCGTCCCTGCATCCACAATCACCACAGCATCAGCTTACTGGACTGCAGTCAGACGGCATTCTGGGTAACCTGCCACTGCTTTACTGACGGAGCCAAGAGATGACAGGCAATACAAACCAGGAGCTGCACTGCGCTTTGTAGTTACATGAACAGAGCGCTTTAAAATATTCAGAGCGAGAAAATAAGACCTGGTTTCTCTTGTGAAAATGGAGTACACTTTAGCATACTTCTAAAAAGCACTCATCACCATCCCACTCGACACCATTTCATTTTATTTAAAAATGTAGGTTAGATAGAATAAACAAACAAAAAATGACCTACATTTAGCTTTTAATGAAATTAAAATAACACGTTTTCGTTGTCTTCATGGTTTCTTTAATAGCCACATTTTCAGCCCTTGTGTAAAAGAAGTACACTTTATAAAGAGCACTTATCTAAAAAAAATATTAAGAAGTAATATATATCTATTAAATATATTTAAAAGAATATACTTAAGTGTGAACTGAATTTAATGTTTTTGGAAATTTAAGTGCATGTTATTTACAATTAAATGAAAATGTTTTATGGTTTACATTGATATTAAATTAAATGCAATTAGTTGAACATCTTTATATGCAATTTCATAATTACTTCTATTGTCTTGAAATATGGTTAAAGTGTACAAGCATTTATGATCGACTAAAATATGCTTTATTGTCATTTTAACTGAATGTGTGTTGTGTATTTAAATATATCTGTAATGATGAATTTGCAATTTAGTTCATTTAAAATATATTGATTTAGTACATAATTTGTTCATTTAGAACATATATTAATATAGTACATACAAAATATATATTTGATAACTGTTTTAAGAAGAGACTCATCTTTTAATGCTGCCTTGTCATTGAGTGTATTTATTTTTTTATTTCTTATTACTTTATTGTTTTTATTGCTATGATTTTATGCTGAGTAGAGCTTTGGGTTTGAGAAAAGTTCAATATAAATAAAAATGCATTATTATTATTAATAATAATATATTAATATTAGATTATTATTATATTATATATACAGTATTATATTATTATTATTCAAATGTAATATCAAATAACACTACACTTACAATTATAATCAAGTACTTTATATGTACTTTAGTAGGTTAGTAAAAAACTAAATAAGTGTACTTCTTTAAAGCATTACAAAAGATTATTAAAAGATAATGATTTCAAATTTTAAAAAGTGTACTTAAGTGTGTTAAGAATCATAGTCATGAAAGTATTCTCTCTTTAAGTGCACTTAAGTGGCCTTTTATTTCATTAATATTACATTATCTGCAAGTACAGTTTTAAAAATATATGAAGAGTTCATTTGCAAAAACTGATAACTCCATTTTTATTTTTATTTCAGAAATCACGTTTTTTTTTATTGCGCATTCCAAGTAATATCAATCAAACTGCAGTTGGGTTGTTTTGATTAAGTTAAGTAATAATAACTTAAACAAATACAGGTAATTTACAAAATTAAAGTTCAAGTATGTTTTTTTTTACATATTAAAAGTTTGTTTTATAGCAAAAGCAGATAACTCCACATGATTCGCTAAAATGGACTTATCGGCTTCTGTTCAAAAACAACAAGGGCACTTTTCGGCTTCTGCAGTAAAACGTGAACTCGCGATGCCTTGAAAGTGGACAAACCCGTTTTTGACAAAACGTGTTTAGGGTTCAGATCGCGCTATATGTGGAGAATAATGCACGGCAATCAGCTCTTTTTTTTTAAAGTGCCGTTTATCGGTTTTTGCAAATGAACTCTTCATATATTTTTAACACTTGAAGTAGACATTTGATACAAGCAAGGACACTCTTTTTCACAGGGTAGTCCTTGGTTGAAGTCAGATGAAAACTTGGCAGAGTAAACGAATAGTTCAACCAAAAATGAAAATGCTGTTTATAAAATTCATTAGCGAAATGCCATCTCAAACCACAAAAAGAGAGCTTTAGCACACTTCCCAAGCTGTTCTTCTTCACACAATGACAGCATACGGACAGGGGCTGCAGAAAACACCATAAAAGTGAACCACACCAATGAAGCAGGTGCTCGTAAGCAACCTACAGAAATTAAAAATGAGAAATCGGTCACCCTATGGTCTTGTGGACTTTACAGTCATATGCATACTGCGGCCATTGTAAGTACACATGAAGTGACTGTGAGCCATTTAGGACAGAGCCTTTGACTCAGCTGTATTCTGCTAACTCCACTCCTATCAGTACTGCATACATACCTACAGAATGTAATGTAGGTATTGACAATCGGCCATAGAGACACACAGGCACCACACAGACAGTGATCACACACTCAGCAGGGACAATAAAGGGCAGACAGGGATCAAACACCCCCCACAGGGTCCAAACATGGCCACCTCTTTACAGATCAGACTGCATCAGATCAAATAAATCCATTGCTAGTCAATGACAGCATAGAGATCAGAGATCAGTACACTCTCTTAAAGTCAGATGAGGCCATAAAAAAGTCCCAAAGCAGTCCAAACGATTCTCACCTGGAAGCGGAGGATGATGGTCCAGATGAGGCCGAGAGTGAGGCGGTGGTTCCCATCAACTATATCATGAGAACCAACATTTTCTAGATGAACCCTCTGTTCTTTGAGGAACTGAAGAGCCTTATCCACATTCTCCAAACAGTGAATCCTCATCCTGCCTCTCGTGGGCCGAGGCTTAAAACAAAAACATATTAAAACAAGAACGTGTCACAAACACGTGGGCTCGAAACTTCCTGAATTCAACCTTTGAAAGACAATTAATAAAGCATAGCATGTAGGCTGAGTCAGGGTGATTGTCATGAATTAAAACTAAAATTATTATAAATAAACATTTTTGTTACTTGAAAAAAGCTGAAATAAAAATATGAATATTAGATACAAGACATTTTGCCATGAAAGCTAACTGAAATAAGTTTAAATTGAAGCACTAAACTTACTAACTAAAAATAAATAAAAACTAAAACTAAAATGGAAATAAAAATAAACCTAAATAGCAATATTTAATAATGATAATAATAATAATAAAATCTAAATAAATACATAAAGATAAAATCTATTTCAAAATAATAAATGATTGAAAAAAAAAAAAAACATATAAAAGCTATAATAATAAATAAATAATAGTAAAATAACACTGGCTTGAGAATGTAATTGTGTGTGCTTTTGGAAAAAATTATTCATTTGCAAGGTTGGCATCTTCCAGCTGCTTGTAGTTTCTGTGCATGAGCTCCAAAAAGTATGTTTATGTTTTCCATGCTAAATTACAAAAGTAACTCTTTGTTTATGAATTCAGGATCTGCATCGATCCAAACGATGAGATGAAGGCGGGTCTGCTGGCCCAGGCGGAGTCTGGAGACGGTGTGCTGACGACAGGCATGTGGCAGCACTTGGCTCTCACGTACACACAGCAGCCTGAGGGCAGGAAGAACGTCCACGGTCAGCTGACCCTCTGGGTGAGCGGCATTCGGTGAGTCTGCCACTGCAATTAGTTGGTGGATGATTTAAATGGATAGTTCAACCAGGGCTGCAGACATCAGTTTTTATGCAGTCAGAATCATGTTTTAATCAAGCCTTCCTGTGCCACATACAGGAAGTGTGACGTCTCGCTAGACTTCACTCTGCCCAGGAAGTCCAGTTTGTCATCAGACAGTAATAAGACCTACTGTATGCTTGGACACTATCAGCACTCCTCAGAGGAGCAGGCCAGCCCAAGTGCACGCTGGGATATGGGCACACTGCTGCTCTTTAATGGTATGAAACCAGTTCTCATAGAGCTTCCCTACAGTATAATGATCTCCCCTTTGAAATGTTTGTGGTTTTCATCAGATCAATCGCACATATATTTTTAATTAAATCTAAAACTATTAAAAACATACTTATTAAATGAAATAAAGCTGAAAATAAACTGCTGAAAAAAGCTGAAAAATTCAAACTAAACAAAAATTAGAAATGTTGACTTGGCAACTAACTGAAATAAGTTAATTGTCTTTTTATCTCACAATTTTGATTTTGTTTTGTTTTTTTTCTAGCAATTCTGAACTTGCAATGACCTTTTTTTTAAAAATGTTTTGTTCCATGGTGGAAACAAAAAAAAAGTCAGAATTGCGAGAGAGAAACTTGCAATTGTGTGGGGGAAAAAAAAAAATCTGAATTCTCAATTTATATCTCAAAGTCCTAAAAAAAAGTCCTATAACAAAAAAAACATTTTATTGTGGTGGAAAATGGGGCATAGATTAATAAAAGCTGTGAGAAATAGTTAGCTAATGCATTAAATAATGTTGACAAATGTTACCAACAAAAAAACAATAATAGTATATAAATAGTAATCAAATATCACCGCTTCGTGTTGTTGGAAAGATTATTTGTATGTGCTTTCAGCGGCAGTGATGTTGTAGGTAACGTGGGATCTTCCTGCTGCTGGAAGTTTCTGTGTGTGAGCCACAGATTCTCCACATTCCCTCCACACAACACACTTTTCTTAACAGAATAGCCATTCTGTTGCTACTAATAGGTCATGAATGGGCCCAGTCCAGCCGTTCCCAACTTGTGAAACGCTCTAATAAATGGACTTATCGGCTTCTGTTCAAAAACAACAAGGGCACTTTTCGGCTTCTGCAGTAAAACGTGAACTCGCGATGCCTTGAAAGTGGACAAACCCGTTTTTGACAAAACGTGTTTAGGGTTCAGATCGCGCTATATGTGGAGAATAATGCACGGCAATCAGCTCTTTTTTTTTAAAGTGCCGTTTATCGGTTTTTGCAAATGAACTCTTCATATATTTTTAACACTTGAAGTAGACATTTGATACAAGCAAGGACACTCTTTTTCACAGGGTAGTCCTTGGTTGAAGTCAGATGAAAACTTGGCAGAGTAAACGAATAGTTCAACCAAAAATGAAAATGCTGTTTATAAAATTCATTAGCGAAATGCCATCTCAAACCACAAAAAGAGAGCTTTAGCACACTTCCCAAGCTGTTCTTCTTCACACAATGACAGCATACGGACAGGGGCTGCAGAAAACACCATAAAAGTGAACCACACCAATGAAGCAGGTGCTCGTAAGCAACCTACAGAAATTAAAAATGAGAAATCGGTCACCCTATGGTCTTGTGGACTTTACAGTCATATGCATACTGCGGCCATTGTAAGTACACATGAAGTGACTGTGAGCCATTTAGGACAGAGCCTTTGACTCAGCTGTATTCTGCTAACTCCACTCCTATCAGTACTGCATACATACCTACAGAATGTAATGTAGGTATTGACAATCGGCCATAGAGACACACAGGCACCACACAGACAGTGATCACACACTCAGCAGGGACAATAAAGGGCAGACAGGGATCAAACACCCCCCACAGGGTCCAAACATGGCCACCTCTTTACAGATCAGACTGCATCAGATCAAATAAATCCATTGCTAGTCAATGACAGCATAGAGATCAGAGATCAGTACACTCTCTTAAAGTCAGATGAGGCCATAAAAAAGTCCCAAAGCAGTCCAAACGATTCTCACCTGGAAGCGGAGGATGATGGTCCAGATGAGGCCGAGAGTGAGGCGGTGGTTCCCATCAAGTATATCATGAGAACCAACATTTTCTAGATGAACCCTCTGTTCTTTGAGGAACTGAAGAGCCTTATCCACATTCTCCAAACAGTGAATCCTCATCCTGCCTCTCGTGGGCCGAGGCTTGAAACAAAAACATATTAAAACAAGAACGTGTCACAAACACGTGGGCTCGAAACTTCCTGAATTCAACCTTTGAAAGACAATTAATAAAGCAGAGCATGGAAGCTGAATCAGGGATATTGTCACTAATTAAAACTAAAACTATTACAAATAAACATTTTTGTTAAATGAATAAAAGCTGAAATAAAATACAAAATAAATATTTGATGAAAAACTTAACCTAAACACAATCAAGATATTTTGCCATGAAAACTAAATGAAATCTGCTGTATAAAAATATTTTAAAGCCAATTAAAAAAAATAATAATAGTAAATAATATTAAAATAACACTGGGCTCAATCAAATCTTAGTGCAATATATTAAAAGAAAAACCATTTTATTTTATTTTTTTATGAAGTGTCAACAAAATGTTGAGTATTTTAAAGATGCTGCTGTGTGTTGCTAGGTTTCTGGATGGTTGTTTACTAGTCAAGCAGGCAAAAATATTAGGTAAATTCCTATAGAAAAGGGAGAGCAAACCTCTCCTCATTGAATCCAGTATCATTCATTTGAGCTGGGCTCAACCAAAATAGAACAGCAAAAGTACATGTGATACTAGCAAGCAATGCTAATAATTAGTGATGCACTGTAATTCTGGCTACCGAAAATATTTCAACGAAACAGCTAAATAAAAAAAAAAGTTTTGGTTTTAGCTTTGGAGGGCAAAAATCATGGACCGAAACTGTACTCCATAATGCAATATAAGTTGCTTTGGAAAAAAGCGTCTGGCAAATGCATAAATGTAAAACCTTTGGGTGGAAAAAGGTTGTTCAGATGGTGTTTTCTGAAGAAACGGAGAACTCACCAGCAGCTCTCCTGACAGCACCTCCAGCAGTCTGATGAGCATGTATCCGTCTCTCAGGTCATTATACAGGTCAGAGATACGGCAGGACACACGGGCCAAGTGAGAGTTTACCCACTTAGTAAAGGTTTTCTTCTGGACTGCGTCCCTCTCATCTGGTAGAAAGAGAGAGTCAAACAACAATGCATATATTTTAGTGGTGTCAAAATTAGCGCGTTGACGCAGGCAATTCATTTTTTCAGTTTAACGCGTTAAAAATATTTAACGCAATTGCGCCAGGCGCGAGTCAAACGAGTGCGAAAACAGTACTGTGCTCGCATGACGTTACCAAAAAGGCGATTAAAGCTGCCTTAAAACTGTGCATGCATGTAATATATTTTATGAGTCACATTTAAGAAGATGTCTCTGAAATGGTTTTCAAAACTGTCCTGGAGCAGCCCAGCACTGTCTCACTCATCTAACCCACCCGATTTAACTCGTCAGCTCATTAATAGAGACTTTAAGAGTAAAAAAAGATGCCATTAAACAAATATTAAAAAATATACTGTCTTTATGTTGTTTGTACATTCATTTTAAAGATTGAGTGTGAAATTATTGCAATATAAAAGTATATTTAAAAACTTTAATGTAAGGTGGGATTAATAGCGATTAATTTCAGAAAAATGTACGATTAATTTGTTAATTTTTTTTAAACGATTGACAGCACTAATGTATTTATATAAAGGATACACAATATCGGTACCATATCGGTTGTCAGATATATTCTCTATTTACCTGTGGCTCAGTGGTAGTGCATTGTGTTAGCAGCGCAAAAGGTCGTGGGTTTGATTCCCAGGGAACACACATACTGGTAAAAAATTTATAGCCTGAATGCACTGTAAGTCGCTTTGGATAAAAGCGTCTGCCAAATGCATAAATTATTAAATGATTAATTATTCATGTTAATCTTAAAAAAACACCAGCTTAATAATGCTCTTAAATGTAATCTTTAGCAAATCTCAGAATTAATATTTATTTTGCATACTGTACATTATAATGCTGATTTGCCTAAATCCATTAAACAATTGTTTTTAATTGTAGTGTTTTCTTTTTGACAAAGTGTTACAGAATTTTTATTTTAGCCATTTATTATTTCTCATCCATAACAAGAATATGGGTGTAGAAGAATATTGTATTCTTATTATATACACTACCGTTCAAGTTTGGGGTCGGTTTTCTAATATTTTTGAAAGAAGTCTCTTATGCTCACAAAGGATGCATTCATTTAATCAAAAATACGGTAAAAACAGTAATATTTTGAAATATTTTTTACAATTTAAAATAAGTGTTTTCTATTTTAATATATTTTAAAATGTAATTTATTCCTGTGATACAAAGCTGAATTTTCAGCATCATTACTCCAGTCTTCTGTGTCACATGATCCTTCTTATTATTGTCAAAGATGAAAGCAGTTTTAGCTGATTAATATTTTTGTGGAAACCAAGATATATTCTTTCAGGATTTTTTGATTAATAGAAAGAACAGCATTTGTAAAATAAATGTCATTTTTGAGCAATTTAGTGCATCATTGCTGAATAAAAATATTCATTTCTTTAAGAAAAAAAAACCTAAAACTACTTGACCCCACACTTTTAAAAGTTAGTGTATACATATGCTCAAAATATACTATAGACACACACAACCACAGATCTAGCAGATTCTCTACTCACCTGCTAATGCTTTGATGCGAGAGCACTCAAATAGTTTGGCACTGGTGGTCTCTGTTTCCCAGAATCCTGTGCTTGCAGGCCTGTTGTTGTTGTTGAGCTGTCTCTGGGCCTCAGCATTGTCCAGGTCTGTTGAGGCACTGGCCATCGCGCCTGCTTCCTCAAGCAGCCCTGCATACAGTGCAGTAAAAGTCAGTTTCCACAGTACCACCCAAACACAAACCTAATAGAATCCATATCACTATTCATAAAAGGCACACAAACACAGACTTACACGCAGATATGGATTTCAGATACAGTTTACAGTAGATACAGACAAGGTACTCTCAGAAAAATGAATAAGAAAAATGGCAACTCAACTTGGCCAAATGCATTTCTGACATTTGGTCTTTTTGTTTGCTGTCAGATTTACAGCTGATTTGACATATGCTGCTGAAATGTAATTTTGGCATGCAGTTTCAGTCTTTTCTTATTGAAGTAGAAAGAAGATGTTGTAGCATGACTAGGAAGTAGCTGCCAAGGGGGTGTTATCAAGATGAACTAACTTGTCTTAAAGGGACAGTTCACCTAAAAATTAAAATTCTGTCACCATTTAATCACCATCATGTCATTCCAAACCCATAAGGTTCATTGGGAAAAAGTGTGTTTGACAACATTTCTGCTAATATTACATTGCTTTTGCATATGTCAGACTTTCAAAGTGAAATGTGCAGAGAGTAGCACTAAAAACACGTTCAGTTTTATTTGAAGCAGTCAGATGAACGTGAATCTGGCAACGGTTTGTTATGTTGGTTCTTGTACGTATCACAGCAATTTGGAAATTAAAAGTATGTTGAGTGGTGCTGAAAATGTCACCTACACTAAACACTTCCCTAAAACTAACCGATTATGTTAACAAAATCAAATGTGATGCTTGCACCCATGCCGTTTTAGCTTATTTATACAAGTGTTTGACCTTTATTTATGAAGCTTACTCGTGATTCATGCTTCACAGGACTTGTACCTAAATGCTATCAATGCTGCACCAGGTGTGCTACCGAGCAAGTTTACTGTCAGAAAAGTCATAGATATAGAGCTGGTTATGTAATGCAAACATCAAAATGTATTAGTTTTAGGGCTGTCATCGTTAATTAAATCGCATCGTTAATAAAATGCGATTAATTTAACAATCCATAACGCGTTAAAATAATTTAACGCAATTAACGCAAAATTACTATAGCACAATTTCTATTCTAACCCTTTAACCCAATTTTGCTTCTCTGCTTGCGATTAGATCATTTTAAGCTGCTAAATTCCGGGAAAGTTTTCAGTCCAACCCTTCAATCTTTTGGTTTACTTTGCTGGATATAGCAAATGATGACAAAATAAACATTTGAAACAAGATAAATGGTCTATGCTTAATTTCATGAAGTGTGCGATTAATCGCGATTAATCACAGAAAAAGGATGTGATTAATTAGATTAAAATTTTTAATCGATTGACAGCTCTAATTAGTTTACAAATGTTTTACTTTTTTTTTTTTACAAAAAAAAGTTGTTTGAGAAAAGTTAGAAAGTTGTTTTTGAAGTTGTTTTACTGCCTCTATTTAATCTGGAAACTGCTGTGAATTGTGCGTATAGGTGCATCTTTGGAGTTTTAAAAAAATGTAGGTAGAGGCATGTTTTTTTCCCCAATAAGCCTGGGTTGACTTTTCTTTATCTTTGAAACACAAATGAAGATCATTTTCAAATCTGAGAGATTTTTGTTCCACCATTTCAAGCCTTGTTCCACCAAGTCTTGGACGCTTCAAAAAGTTAATAACGATATCATAAAGCTAATCCATATGAATCGAGCTGTGCAATCAATGTGAATAATATGTGAACAAAAGGCTAAATTAAATCTGTTCAGCACATAAAGCAATCGTGTCCCTTCACAAAGATTGGATTTTACCACTCAATTCATGTGGATTCATTTTACTGACCCTTTAAAGTGACGTTGCGTACATAAAGCTACACAGAGTACAAGTTTGTATGTTACAGACAGGGTTTCTCTCTAATATGACTAATTGTCACATCTAGTGCAATTTACAGTCACACACAAAAATATCTAATGTCTTAACCAATTTAATATGAAGAAAAATGTTCCTTTGTGTTTATTTTAGCCACTTCAAGTAGTATTGCGGTGGTGTGCAATGACTGATGGGTATATTTATCATTTTCACTTTCTGTGAAGATATACTGTACGCTTGCCTTTTTAGTGTCTTTGAGACTAAGCCTAGATGCTGTCTACAACTAATGGCTTAATACCCTGTGATGTCTACTTTGCAAGGCGCTGTGAAGTGATTGGAACACAGCCATGGCTCTAATGTAAACTAATGTAAGGCCTATTTGTGCAGTGCAAGCTAGCTTAACAGGTGCTTTGCGTCACAGTTATTAGCCTACTATGTTATCTAAAGTAGCTCAGAAATGCTGCATTGGCTATTCAGCATCCAGGACCGGAACGATTTGTTTTATGAGTCAGATATTCCTGTGAAACCACAACAAATAACTGTCCCATTTCCCCTCAAGCTGATGTACAGTAGCTTCATGAGAGGGTGACGTCAAGTGACCTTTTTACAGGAATACAGAACAACTGGGTCAATTCACCTACCCATGTAAGAGAGAGCACTCCCTCTTTTTTTCTTCAAGTGAATTTAGTATGAATGAATTTTTAATAGATTTAGGAGGCTAATCCTTCACCCCATCCCCCTTCCAGAAGCCTTTCCACTGTCTGCCAGTGAACAACCAGACCATCATTGGTGTGCTGAGTGTCATATGTGCTGTTCCACAAATTTCCATCCATACAGTCACTGTTCTCATGGTTATAAACAAACAAAGAGAGTCTTTGACAGGTGTGATCTGCTCTTTCTCCTCACACATTCATTGAGATTTCAGTCATTATTGTACTGAGAGTATGCAGCACACAAATGCAGAGCGTTCCCCTCCCCCAGTACTCATAAACCCAAAATCTCAACAGCACCATCCCCCCATAATAACACACACACACACACACACACACACCATGGTTTTGGACATCCTGACCAATATTCCAAATGGTACATCAAGAGATAGAAAGAGATACGCTGAATTTATGTTTTGTATGACAGATTTATGCCATTCATATTTCAAATATATATTTGCATTAAATACATCTTCATATTTCACTTTGTACATATATATATACTTGTACAAATATATATATATATATAGTGTGTGTGTGTGTGTGTGTGCGCGTGTGTATATTAATAAAATGTATATTTAGTTGGTATTTTAAATGGCATGTCAAGAGATATGCTGAATTTGTTTTGTGCGACAGATTTATGTCATTCTTATTCTTAATTAGAATATATATTTGCATTATATACATTTTCAAATTTCACTTGTACATTCATATTTCTATATATTTTTGCTTTTATGAAGTGCCAAACAGGAGATCTTAATAAATAAAATCTTAATATTTAAATGTCAATTTTAAATATATGGAAGTAAATCAGAATATATTTTTATAAATCTGAAAATATACATGTAAATCAGAATATAAAGATACAAATCTTAATATATAAATGTAAATCATGAATATGTAGAAATAAATCTGAATATATAATTATAAGTCTGAATATATAAATGTAAAATGTGAATATTATAATTCTGAATATATAAATATAAATTGCAATATAGATATATTCAGGGTGACAACAATATATTCAGGCTTACAACTATTATATATATATTGTGATTTACATTTATACATTTTAATTTAAAAATATATATATTGATTTACTTCGATATTATATATATATATATATACACTGTAAAAAAAGTCCCTTAAAAAATGGTAAATGACTGGCAGCTACGGCTGCCAAACAAAACCCGTAAAATTAAAGTAAAATATCATAATTAAAACAAGGAAGAATCTGTAAAATTAATTTTTTTTCTGTAAAACCTTTAATGAAAATTTCTGTAAAATTATTGTTTTTGCACTTTATTTCAATTAAGATATTTTACTTTAACGTATGTTGGTATACACACACACACACACACACACACGTACAAGTTTGACTTTTTTCTTTAAATCCTCATGATGTTTAAACAGACTCAGCTCACATATAAAAGTGTTTCAGATGTTTCACAGTTGGCCTATTTTCTCAAATTCTTCACAAATCATGAGATTTAATGGGGAGGTATATGGGCCATGTATTTTATGCAAAAAGGAATTAATCTCTTTAAGGCACGCTGACATTTTCCGTTTTGTCACGGAGTAAAATTCACAATCACAATCCACTTGGCACATTCTTTTGTAATTTCATTAGATTTATCAATGTATTAATAACACAAAAAATACCCAAAATAGACTGTAGAGAGCTCGCAAATTTTTTTAGAACAAACTGTAAAAATGAAAATGATCAAATACTCTGTATCAAAAAGCAAACAGGGGGCACTGAGATATAGTATCACTATCACCAAAGAGACAGAACAAGTTAGATAGCTTAGTTTCAAAGGAATGGGTGAGAGACATATAAGTTTTCTTATCACATTAAACAAGTTCTTTGTGAATTAGACTGCAGTCCCACCACTGGAAAGTCGATTAGTCTAGAATTTTATTAAACCAGAAATCTATGTGACCACAATTTAAGTTTTCAACAAATGAGCTTAGGGTTTTAAAAAAATCTATAAGCCAACATTTGTAATTAATTTCAGAGTGAGATATGTATCTTGCTAAACTGATCCCAACCACATAATATTAAAATGCAAACCTGACCTAGAAATATTACTCCCACTTTTGAGAAAATACACCCACAAAGTCTATGAGCTGTTCAACACAAGCTCATAAGTGTGATCTCTGGTGAGAAATCAGGGAGTTTGGTCTAATTCGTCTTAGTTGGTGTTCCACAATCTCTTCCTTTATTTGCAGCCTCATTTGATTAAGTGTGGGATTGCGGAGAATCAAGAATATCAGAGAGGAAACCCTGTCTGTAACATACAACTTGTGCAGCAATCCCCGCATTTCCATATTATGGCACAAGAGCAGTTCCAGCAGTCCATAAACACCAATTTCCAATTTTTTGATAAACATAATGTTGTCATATGTTGACACATTTCCTACTGAAACAGGAAGTTGGGGCAGGGCTTTTTTTCAAAATAGCTAATAGTCTT